TGGCGCAAGGGCTTCACTGATGGGGGGCGGGCGGTTCCCGAAATGAGGCCCACGCCTCAGCGCCGCGCAGTGTGTTTCGTAGCGCGCGCCCGCCAATGTTTCAAAGGCTCTCTCTCTCTCTCTCTCTTTCCTTCGCGCCGCGCACAGTCGTCCTGGAGTGTTCAAAAAGACTCGCTGATGGAGGGCGGCTCCTTTACAACGTGTGGCTCTCGCCTTAGTGCTGCGCACTTTCGTTTTCCAGATTGCCAGAGAGAGCTTCAATGGTAGAGGACGGGCGGTTCTAAAATGTGGCTCTCCCCTGAGCGCCGCGCACCTTCTTTGTCATAGCGTGCAAGAGTTTGACTGGTGGAAGGCGGTGCCTTTTCAAAATGTAGCTCTCGCCCTAGCGCCGCGTGCACTCGTCCAAGAAGTGTGCAGGAGATTCAATGATGGAGGGTGGTTCCTTTTGAACATGTGGCTCTCGCCTTAGTGCTGCGCGCATTCAATTTGCAGATTGCCAGGACTTCAAGGATAGAGGGTGGGTCGTTTAAAAAATGTGGCTCTCGCCTACGAGCCGCGCACCTTTTTTCATAGCTTGCAAGAGTTTGACTGGTGGAAGGCGGTGCCGTTTCAAACTTTGGCTCTTGCCTTAGCGCCACGTGCATTCGTCCTAGACGTGTGCAGGAGATTGACTAGAGGGCGGTTCCCTTTTTCAACCTGTGGCTCGCGTCTTTGCGCCGCGCACGTTCGTTTTTGAAGCTTGTCAGGACTTGACGGAGGGCAGGCGGTCGGTTTTCAACATGTAGCCCTCGCCCTAACACCGTGCACGCTCGTTCTTCAAGTCTGCCCGAGCTTCGCGGACAGAGGGCGGGAGGTGTTCAAAAGGCGGCCCTCGCCTCGGCGCCGCGCGCGTGGGCCGAGAAGTGTGCAGCAAGTCTTGCCGATGGAGCGCGGCTCTCTGCCAGCACGCGGCCCTCTCATGAACGCCGTGCACAATCGTCTTCACAATCTGCAGCAGCTTCACGGGTGGAGGGCGGGAGGTGCCAGAATGTGGCTCTCGACTCGGCGCCGCGCACAGTCGCTTGCAAAGCTTGCCCGAGCTTCGAGGGTGGAGAGCGGGTGGTTTTCACGAGGTGGCTCTCGCCCGAGCGGCTTCAAAGTTCGCAGAAGTCTCAATGATGGGGCGCGATTCCTTTTTCAAGATGTGGCCTTTCGCGCTAGCGCAGCGAGCACTCATCTTCAACGTCGGCAAGAGATTTACGGATGGACGCCGGTTCCTTTTTAACATGTGGCTTTCGCCTTAGCGCAGCGCACAGTCGTTTTAAGATGTCGCATCAACTTCGGAAAGTATTCCAGTATTCGGCCTGACCTAAGGGACGATAGATAAGGCACGAAGCCCCTTTGTTCCCAAGGATGTCTAGGAAGTCCGAAAGAACACCAGGGGGCTCGCCGCCAAAAAGTTAGGGGAGCGCATGCTAAGCAAAAGAACGACCGAGCCCCTTTTGAAAAGTAAATGTTCCTTATCAAACCGGACCCTGTATGGTTAACACCCCAGGAATAATATTCGGGCACGATTTAGGACTGCCAGGGCGCAACGGTCAATGTGATTCGCGGTGTTGCAATCCCATGGATGGCGTTCTGGAACGATTGAGGGCTATCAGACGGGTGTCTTCCAACGGGACACTACACATGATTGTAGGGACCTTAGGCAAAGTATCTTGAGGGGGGAGAGAGAGAGAGAGAGAGAGAGAGCGCGCTTCAGGGGGGCTTACCTTGAGAACATTCGGAGGCGCGTTTCGAACCGGGAGGGGGCCTCCCTCAACATTCGGCGCCATCGATCACAATCAGGGGGACTCCCCTCCCCCTTAACCCCTTCCCCTCCCCGAGCCCCCTTTTCCCAGGCCCACCCAGGGGGGGAGGGGGGTTCGGCCCGTAGCTCCGACGGCAGGGACGCGGGGACGATGACCAGAGAGGGCCCACAGGCCGCAGATGGGACACAGAAATCGCCATATCGAGCCGTAGCCCCCCAAAAGCCACCGGGAGGCCCTTATGAAGGTGCAAGAGACGCCCAAGAGGCGCCGAGGAGACTTCACAAATGCTCCTTACACGCCCACGAGACCCCTCTGACGAGATCCCAAGAGGCATTCACTAGAACTCTATCCCACAGGCGTGGCACGGTAGCGGGAAGACCCGACGGCCGCACCACCACCACCACAAACCAACACACCACC